CTCTGAATACTATAAAAACTGATCTGTTACACCCATTAAATGAGGCCTTGACAAGAAATCTGCCTGGCCTCCTCTTCTTTCTCGTGCCCATTCTCTTTACAGGCTGGGTCCCCCTCGCCCCCCGAATAACCGTGTCCCGCAGGACGGGACAGCCAAGGTGGGTGGATTGCTTGAGCTCATGAGCTCGAGACCAGCCTGAGCAAGAGCAAGACCCCATTTCTAAAAAAAAGTAGTCAGGCATTGTGGAGGGTCCTGTAGTCCCAGCTATTTGGGAGGCTGAAGCAAGGGGATCATTTGAGCCCAAGAGTTTGAGGTTGCTGTGAGCTATGTGGTCATAGCACTCTACTGAGAGCAACAAAGTGAAACTCTCTCACACACACATATACACAAAGCAGCCTTTTTCATACCTGCTCGCTTACAGGTATGAAAGATAATCCATCCACCTAATTGGGCTTTGGGCATTCTCAAATGCAGGTACAAACTGGTCTCTTCAAAGCTACCAAAACTTTGAACTCTGTTTTGATTTTTTTTTTTTTTGAGACAGAGTTTTAATTGTCGCCCTCGGTAGAGTGCTGTGGTGTCATAGCTCACAGAAACCTCAAACTCCTGGACTCAAACTATCCTATTGTCTCAGCCTCTCAAGTAGCTGGAGCTGTAAGCATGCACCACTCTGCCCTGCCCATCAACCCTTTATGATAAACCCCTATCATCCAATACAAATGGCACTGTCTTAAATTTGTTTTTTTGCAGTTTTTGGCCGGGGCTGGGTTTGAACCTGCCACCTCAGGCACATAGGGCCAGTGCCCTACTCCTTTGAGCCACAGGAGCCACCCAAATTTGTTTATATGTTTTATAACTTCATGGAAACAGGTTGGCAGCTCTAAAACAAGGACAATAACCCACTGTAGTACCTACTAGGGCTGTGCCCTAAGTAGAGAACATGCTAAGGGAATTAAAATAACTGAACAGGGCTTGGTGCCTGTGGCTCAAGCGGCTAAGGCGCCAGCCACATACACCCAAGGTGGCGGGTTCAAATCCCCAGCCCGGCCCGCCAAACAACCAATGACAGCTGCAACCAAAAAATAGCCAGGCGTTGTGGCGGGCGCCTGTAGTCCCAGCTACTTGGGAGGCTGAGGCAGGAGACTCGCTTGAGCCCAGGAGTTGGAGGTTGCTGTGAGCTATGCCACGGCACTCTACCCAGGGGGACAGCTTGCGGCTCCGTCTCAAAAAAAAAAAATAAATAACTGAACAGGGGTTATTGAGACAAGGAAACAGCTACGTGTTTACTCTGCCAACTCTAGTCAACTGTTGAGATTTATTTTACAAAAACGAGTTTTACAAGACTTATGTTTTGTTCTGTTTTGGTTTTTTGGCCAGGGCTGGGTTTCAACCCATCATCTCCGGCATATGGGGCTGGCGCCCTACCCTTCTGAGCCACAGGCACCGCCCTTACAAGACTAGAAAAGTACTCACGAGGTATCTATGCCAAAGGTGTCCGCGGTGAACCACTTGGTACATATCCCACATTGCAGTTCTACCTCTCCCAATTGTCGGCTATTCTCTTCATCCACTGAGCCCGCCTGAGTATCCATCACTTCTGAAGTATCCCCAGCACCTTCCTGTGTACACAGAGCAATTAGAGAATCAAAATAGTTGACATAAATGTATTTTTGATTCGTTAAAAAATTTAAAAATAAACCCTATATTGCCTTGGAAACATCTAAAAAGAAATACTTACTAGTGTATCTTTTCCATTGGAGGATTCGGTCTCCAAACCACCACTTACATCAACCATGTTTGCATCCCTATGAGATAATAAAAGGACTCAAACAAAACTGAAGAGAAACAGGGTGGCGCCCATGTGAGTAGGACGCCAGCCACATACACCAAGGCTGGCGGGTTCCAACCGCCGGGGCCTGCTAAACAATGACAACTGCAACAAACACATATTTGGGCGTTGTGGCGGGTGCCTGTAGTCCCAACTACGTGGAAGGCTGAAGCAAGAGAATCACTTAAGCCCAAGAATTTGAGGTTGCTATGAGCTGTGACGCCATGGCCCTCTACCAGGGGGCGACATAGTGAGACTGTCTCAAAAAAAACAATAACTAAGAGAAACAAACCTCAAAACACCTGTTCTCAAAGATGATGACCAAAATACAGCTAAACTTCACACTCTGACTGCTTTTTCAGCTATGCCCAGGGTTACCATCAAAATATTAGGAAGAATGTGACCACGATGCTGACCCAAGCTGGCCCAAGGAAAACCGAGAAGCATAATCAGCCCTCACAGACAAGTCTACATGGGTTAGGGCTGGTTCTGGGAGAGGGTTAAGGAGATGCACTTCTCCCACTCGGGTTTCAGGGGCTCCATTACTTCTTCCAGTCCGGCACTGCAAAGTGGTTTCTTTTCTGGTATGTTTGAAGGATTTCTGAAGGTCAGAAAAGTAAACTACCAGCTCCCTACCAGGGTGCAAGGGCCAGAGACAGGACAAGAGCCCTGAGGTTTCTCAGGGAACTGGAAAGGTGGAGAAGGGGCGTATTCCAGGGTACACTCTGAGGTAATGGTAGGAGAGGTGTGCGCCTTTACCATCGCAGCGGGGGCAGGGCGAGCCGTTAGCGGAAGGCCCCGAGTTCTCTGGGGTGGCTGGAGGGCTCGCAGGAGCCGCGGGATTCCAAGAGGGGCGGGCCACCTCCCTCCGATGTGCTCCCCGGGCAGCAGGACTTCTTACCCGCTTTCAGCCTCTCCGGAACTGGGCTCAGCTGCCGAAGCAGCCGACGTCCCCTCTCCAGCCTGAGCGGCTGCTACCGCTGCCACCGGCTTCGTCTCCCCCTCTTCTGCGGTAGATGCATTTGCGGTTGCCCCTGGGCCAGGTCCAGCAACCACTCCCGGGCCAGGTCCGCTTCCCGCCGCCGCCATCGCTGCTACCCTCAGACTTCTCGCGAGAATAGCATCTCGGTCTCGCGCGAACGACAGGAAACGGGCTCAGCAATCTTCAAACGGGAAAGGCCTGCGGTGGGCCCGCCGCCTGTCTGAGGACTCCGCGCTCCGGGACCGCTTTAAGGTCCGGCAGGCAGGCCACCGGCAGCTCAGCAAGTGATAAAGGCCAGGGCAGCTTGAGTCCTTTGTGGAATTTCCTCTAAGGACTGACTTCATTTCAGGGACGAACGCATTTCGGTGTTGAGACTGGAAATCCGGACAGCGCCCGTGGCTCAAAGGAGTGGGGCGCCGGCCCCGGCCAAAAACTGCAAAAAAAAAGACAAAGACTGGAAATCCCAGCGCAGACTAGGCGCCTGCAGGGCGCGAGCGGCGCACGGACTGTCGCATGCTTTGGTGTGCACTGCAGACGATCCTCACCACCGACTGCGAGGAATGTCTTCCAGAAAGACCAGCAGTGCCCTCCCCCGCCCCGTATGTAACTGCCCCACTGCGCAGTGGTCTGGCCCGGGGAGCACGTTTCCAGATGGCCTGAGAGACAGGAATCTAGAGAGGCTGATTCGAGAGGCAGAGCTGGGCATAGTAGGGTGGGAGGGGACGTATAGGTGGAGGATCCCGGCGGAGGAGGTGGGAAGCTTGTGTGCATTGGAAGCTGCAAGTAGATTCCCGTTGTGAGAGCGGGAATGTGAAGCTCAGAGTCGGGGAGCAAAGTGCTGCAGGACTTCAGAGTTTGAAGAAGTCCGATCTTGGCCAAAGGAAGTGGTGTGGACTACAGGTGAAAACGTGAGAAGACAAGACAGCGCCTGTGGCTCAAAGGAGTAGGGCGCCGGCCCCGTATACTGGAGGTGGCGGGTTCAAACCCAGCCCCGGACAAAAAACAAACAAACAAAAAACCAACAAAGAACTTGCGAAGACATCGACAGTAGCTAGTGGTTGACATCACTGTAGTGAGGGGAATCATTCAACACCGGGGTCTCCAAACTCCAGAATTTGAGTATTTAGAGTATTCCTGCCAGGATAAGTTTTCAGATCCTATTTCCTAAAAACCTACCTACAGATTCATTCTTCTCCCACCTCACAAAAGGAAAATGTACCTGCCTCTGATCCTCCAATCAATCTCATCTTACTATGATGTATTGACACATTATGTAAGAATATCTCGGGCACCAGACACCACCATTGGAAATATGTAGATATTTTGATTTTCCAATTGGTTCTCAATGGTCTTCAATAAAAATTGAAGAAAGTCCTGACTGAATTACCAGCTGATAGATGATTTTGAAAATTGTTGGTGCTAAATGCTAAAATTAATGAGTGTTACTTGATGGAGAAACAGGATACTTGCTCAATGTATGTGTCCCCCCAAATAGTTATTATTGTGGCAGTTTTAATGTACAATCACAGATTTTTTGATACCTCTCCTTCACCTTGATTATGATAATGATGCAGTGACAAGGTTAATTCATCTCTGCAATATTCTTCCCCTAAATCTAGAAGTCTAATCAAGAAAAAAACACAGGCTCCGCGCCTGTGGCTCAAGCGGCTAAGGCACCAGCCACATAAACCTAAGGTGGCGGGTTCGAATCCAGCCCGGACCTGCCAAACAACAATAATGGCTGCAACCAAAAAATAGCCCAGCGTTGTGGCGGGCGCCTGTGGTCCCAGCTACTTGGGAGGCTGAGGCAGGAGACTCGCTTGAGCCCAGGAGTTGGAGGTTGCTATGAGCTGTGATGCCACGGCACTCTACCCAGGGGGATAGCTTAAGGCTCTGTCTCAAAAAAGAAAAAAATATGGAACATGTTTGGGGCGGTGTCTGTGGCTCAAAGGAGTAGGGTACGGGCCCCCTCCTATGCCAGAGGTGACGGGATCAAACCCAGCCCTGGCTAAAAACTGCAAAAAAATAAAAATAAAAATATATATGGGACATGTCCACAATTGTTAAATTCTTGTGTTACCTGGTTCTCTCCACTGCTGAGGGGTGTTAGAAATGGTCCCTAAACAAATGTTTGGCTCTGATGGAGAGAAAACAACAACTGGATGATAATTGGAAGGGAGTTCAGAGTTGAGGAATAGTCTGGTGAGTTTTATTCACCAGTAGGAACCAGAAATTTAAAATCTAGGAGTTATGGTGGTAGATGGAATAGCTTTCTAAAGAGCATCGGGGAGTGGCCGATTCATCGGCCAAAGATGAAGTTAGACTTACTGGAGGAGGAATCCCGTTCATCTCCTCAGGCAGGAGGAAAGGAGGGTGGAATAAGATGTCATTTGGAATTATTACAGGGAGCAAGAGACTAAGGAAAAGTACTGGTGGCTGGCAGAAGACACGTGTTGTGGCAGTGATTTCTGTCTTCCCTGCTTTCTCCACCAGCACTAAACTGCAAGGCACAGAAGTGTGACAGCCAAGAAGCATTCATCTGAGCTTCTGGAAAACAGGAAATCACAGATGAGAATGAAAAAGCAGTTAAGATGATTAATAGCCACAGCACCTGAGGAAGCAGAAGGCCTGGGAAGGCTAAAGGAACTCAGCACCCAAAGTCCTGATGAGGAGTCAGAACAGGATGTTGAGAGGTTGAGGTGAGAAAAGGGAATATTTGAGTTTCAAGAGTTTAATATTCTCTGTTTCTCTCCTATCGCAGGCAAGGCCAGGATAGAACCAGACCTAATTTCTGGAATTGAGAAGCAAAGCACCTACTCAAACTCAGCACCTTCTCAGATAAGGTTAAATAAAATCACTAACAAAGCACCAGGTTTGAAGTTTTGAGCTCTCTATTGCCAGTAACTGCTGAATTCACCCAGTTTGCCAGAAAGGAGATTTGATGAAGCTGCTGGCTGGATGGTAAATTATTGCACTGATGAAAATAGGGAGCCCACTCTCCTTTCATCCTCAAATATAATATTCAGAATGTGCATAATTATTATTCCTGAGTGGTGCGATTACAAAGCCTGCTTCTTGCTTATTTTCTGTATTTACTGTGTACACGTGCTATCCAAATGAGATGTAAATAAAAGCTTAGGGAGGCCAGTAGGATCATCTGAGGCCATGAGTTTGAGACCAGCTGGAGCCATACAGTGACAGCCCTGTTTCTACAAAAAAAATTATTTCTTTTTATTTTTTAGAGATAGGGTCTCACTCTTGCTCAGGCTGGTCTCAAACTCCTGATCTCAAACAATCCACCCATCTCAGCCTCCCAGAGTGCTAGGATTACAGGCTTGAGCCACCCTGCTGGGCCAGCAAAAGAAAAAAAAAATTTGTTTGTTTGTTTGTTTTTGAGACTCTGTCAAAAAGACTCTGTCAAGAGCTGCAGCCTGCCACAATGTCCAGCTATTTTTGGAGACTGGGTCTCGCTCTTGCTCTGGCTGGTCTTGAACTCCTGAGCTCAAGCAATCCACCTACCTCGGCCTTCCAGAATGTTAGGATTACAGGCATGAGCCATGATGCCTGGCCTTCAAAAATTTTTTTAAAAGCTAGTGTGGTGGGCTGGGTGCAGTGGTTCATGCGTGTAATCATAGCACTTTGGGAAGCCGAGGTGCATGGATAGATTGAGTTCACAAGTTCGAGAGCAGCCTAAGCAAAAGTGAGACCCTGTCTCTACTAAAAATAGAAAAATTGAAACAAGAGGATCACTTGAGCCTGAGTTTGAGGTTGCTGTGAGCTATGAAGCCACCACACTCTACCCAAGGGGACAGCTTGAGACTCTGTCTCAAAAACAAACAAACAAACAAACAAAAAACCTAGTCTGGTGGCATGTGCCTATAGATCCGGCTACTCAGGAGGCTGAGGCATGAGGTCACTTGAGCCCAGAGTTCAAGGCTGCAGTGATCTTCAACCTTCATAAGTGCATCCATGGAGTGGGCTCCTCAGGCACTCAGAGATTCGGAAATTTGCTTGGAAGAAGATGGAGACTTCAGATGTGCACACTGATACCAGGCTCAACAAAGCTGTCTGGGCCAGAGGAAGAAGGAATGTCCCACGCTGCATCTGTGTGCAGTAATGAGGATGCAGATTCACCAAACAAGCTCTGGTTACCTATGTACCTGTTACCACCTTCAAAAATCTACAGTCAGCCTGGATGAGAATTAGCCAGTGATTGTCAGATACCTTAAATAAAGTTACTTTAAATAAAAGTTTCCAAGGGTTGGGCAGAGTGGCTCGCACCTGTAACCCCAGCGCTCTGGGAGGCTGGGGTGGGTGGATTGCCTGAGCTCACAAGTTTGAGACCAGCCTGAGCAAGAGCAAGACCTTGTCTCTAAAATAGCCCGGTGTTGTGGGGTGCCTGTAGTCACAGCTACTTGGGAGGCTGAGGCAAGAGAATCGCTAGAGCCAAAGACTTTGAGGTTGCTGTGAGCTGTGACGTCACTGCACTCTACCAAGGGGGACAAAGTAACACTCCGTTTCAAAAAAAAAAAAAAAAGTAGTTTCCCATGTGGGTGTTAGGGCCAGATGTAGGGACCCACCCAAATAGAACATCTTATCCGGGAAGGAATGAATGTGCCAATCCCTACCCCTCTGAACTTTGATATTCCCATCCACTTTAACCCACAAGCTAATTCCTTTCTCAGACTCAGCTCACTCACCCCCAAGTGGAATAAAGGCCTCGTTGCCCACACAGAACCTGGACTCTGATTCCTTTTGTTCATGACTCAGAATAATTTCTCATTTTTGGTCCTTAACCTCTCATTTGGTGCTGAGAACCCTGGGATGGGGAGATACACCCCATCAGACTCAAGTAGATGGATTCTTGTTCCCATGAGAGGAAGGGAAGGGGGGCGGGGGAACCCCTCTGACCCCTGCCCAAAATTCATCCATTTAATGGTGAGGTGAAAATCTGTCTAGAATCCCTTTCTAAACTTTTTAAACTTCTCTTCCCTTCCCCCACTCTGGGCCGAAAAAATCCCGGTGGTCTGTGCCTCCTAAATCCAATACCAGTGACAGACTAACCCCGGCAAGTCGGACTCACCCTTCCAGTGCCTCCTGTGTGGGGACACCCTCCCGTGGGCCTCGGTCACTCTTCTTGGCTGGTTAAAGGTCATATGTGGAAGGCCTGGTAACCTCCCCGTCCCCAGCCTCAGCCACTTCCCCCCTCTTTCCTCTCCTAAGTTCCTCTTTCATCCTCTCTTTAACCTCATATATTTTCCACCTCCAGTTTCCAATATGAGGACCACTCAGTCACAGATTCCCCCTTCTTCACCTTTCAGCTGCCTTTTAACTCATCTCAAGCCTCTATCCCGACCTTAAACCTAAAGGCCTCATCTTCTTCTGTAATAACTTGGCCTATGTATAAACTAGACAATGGCTCACAATGGCCGGAAAGTGCCATCGTTGACCTTTCAATCCTCACTGACCTTGACAATTACTGTCAGAGATTGGGCAAATGGTTGGAGATCCCCGACATCCAGGCCTTCCTCCTCCTTAAAAATAATCTCCAATGTCTTCCTTGGACCCAGCAGACAACCCTCCCCCTTCTGCCCCTCCACAGCCTCCCCCACCCTCAAGCTCCTTCCTACC